ATGACATGTCGGTGCCATCTGCAGAGATCACCAGGCCTGTATTTGTAAAAGGAGGAGACAGAGACCCAGAGAGGCAAAGAGACTCATGCTGAGCGAGGGTATGGGATCTAGGACCCTGATTCTTGGTTCCCTGTCCCTCCTCCTGAACCCTAGGCAGTGCCAACATCTAATCCCCCACCCCAGGCCAGCATCCTGTGTTTCCCACCCCCTCTCAGTGCCTAGGGGCTTTCTCCCTCTGCTCCACTGACAACAGCCTAAGAGGCTTTTCCATTTATTTTATTGACTTGTTAATGATTTTCAGATCTTCAGCCCCTGAAGCAAGCTGGACTTGGAAACTTGTGGCCCTGGCTGGCTCCCATCCACTGCTGGTAAAGCCCTCTCTAGATTAATAGCTCTGTGTCAGGGGATCCTGGCTGCCTAGCAAGACGTCACTAGGGCAACACCTGACCTTTGCTTAGGACCCCAAGCCAAAGCCTTCACCTCCCCACCCCATCCTGTCCTTTCCACAGGCACCGTGCCCCTTTCCCAGCAAATCCTATTATTCCCCCATTCAACAGCCTCTGTCCCTTCATTGTGAAGGGACAACCTGGTAACAGGAAAGGTTTATCTCAACCTTGCAAACAGATACCCAGCAAAAACCGTGATGACCTAAGAGTTAAGAACTCAGCTTTGGGCTTCCCGTTCAAGATGGCGGCCTGAGCACATGTGTCTGTCTTATTTCCCTCTGGGGTTCACTTTTAAAAACTACTGCATGGTAAAGCATTATTTCTGGGTGCGCCAAGAAAGAAAAAAGAAAAAAAAGAAACAAAAAACTGCTGCAGTTCAGAAGCCACAGGCTGGTGGAAGTGCCCTGGGAAGGGCTGTCCTGCTCAACAGGCTAGGACCTCTGGACTCAGAGCTCACAGGAAAGACCCTGGACAGGTGTGGGAAGGCCTATGGCTTTTTTGTATGTCAATCAAATGAAAAATAAAACCTGGAGCTTTAGCTCATCTGACCCCTGTGGAAGGGATGAGCTGCTGAATCAGGCACCTGAGACATTTTGGTACCAAATAACTATGCGTACTTTTGTTTGGTATTTGTTATTTTCTATTCTTTCATAAGCTACAAGCTTTAACTATAACCATGAGAAGGTAAGGAGAGAAGATGCCAGGGGGCAAGCCAAAAAAAATGGAAGCCTCTACTAACAGCACACCAAGGCAACAGACTTTTATTAGATCCTCTTTTGGAATTACGAAGTAAAATATTAGCCTCCTACGCTTTTGAGAATTAAAATTTAACCCACCATCATTTAATCTTGGTAGTGACATCACTTGGTTACAGTGATGACAGATAGCCTGAGGGGCTGGGCCTCAGAAAACCAAAGGTCTAGTCTTGGTCCTCCCACTAATGGGCTGTGTGACCCTGAGCACATTATTCCACTTCTAGATGGCTCAGTTTCCTCATGACTCATAAAAGGAATTCACCGGTCTCGACCTTCCCCCAAGAACTAGTGTGTGGAGCTGGAACAGGCACCAAGAAAGCATGTGGGGCATCAAAGAGTGACATGACCCGGCACCACTGAGTCAGGTAAAGAGGAAGACAGCAAGAACAGAATAGAAAGGCAGCTGTAAAAATGGTGCAGCCAAACATGGACTGAGTGAAAAAAAAGGTAAGCTTCCCAATGACAACACCCCGTCCCAGGAAACAAGACCCAATAAGAACCAGGGGCCTTTGGCTAGGGTGCCAGGGCAATTCCGTGGAAAAAGGATATTCTTTTCAATAAAGCAGTGAGTGAGACAACTGGATATCCACAAGCAAGGGAATGAAGCTGGACCCCTGCTTCACATCACATATAAAAATACACTCAAAATGGATCAAAGACCATTGTGAGAACTAAAACTATAAAAGTTCTTAGAAGAAAACACAGGCAAGGCCGGCCGCAGTGGCTCAAGCCTGTAATCCCAGCACTTTGGGAGGCCAAGGTGGGTGGATCACGAGGTCAAGGGATCGAGACCATCCTGGTCAACAAGGTGAAACCCCGTCTCTACTAAAAAAATACAAAAAATTAGCTGGGCATGGTGGTGCGTGCTTGTAGTCCCAGCTACTTGGGAGGCTGAGGCAGGAGAATTGCCTGAACCTAGGAGGCGGAGGTTGCGGTGAGCCGAGATCGTGCCATTGCACTCCAGCCTGGGTAACAAGAGTGAAACTCCGTCCCCACAAAAAAAAAAAAAAAAAAAAAAAAAAAAAAGAAGAAGAAAACACAGGCGTTCATCTTCTTGACCTTGGATTGGGCAATGATTTTCTAGATATGGCATCAAAAGCACAAGTGACAAAAGAAAAAAAATAGGTATCTTAGACATCAGAATTAAAAAGTTTTGGAATTCAGATGGTGGACAAAGGAAAAAGAAAAAAAAATATTTAAAAGTTTTGCGTTTCGAAGGACACTACCAAGAAAGTGAAAACAATCCACAGAATGGGAGAACAATTTTACCAATCATATACCTGATAAAAGACTGGCATCTAGAATATACACATAGCTCACACAACTCAATAATAAAAAGAAAGCTCATCCCTGGTAGTCTGGTGGTTAGGAAAACAGAAAACGAGAAGGAAAAAAAAAACAAACCCAATTAAAAATAGGTTAGACCTTTCTCCAAAGATATACACATGGCCCATAAGCACATAAGCACAGGTAAAGACGCTCAACATCAGCAGCCATCAGGGAAATGCAAATCAAAACCTCAACAAGATAGCATTTCACACTCATTAAGATGCTATAATCAAAAAGACGGATAATAGCAAGTGTTGGCAAGGATGTTGAGAAGTTGAAACCTGAATACGTCGCTTGTGGGAATGTAAAATGGTTCAGTTGCTGTAGAAAACCATCTAGCAGTTCCTCAAAAAGTTAAACACGGAGTTACTGTATGACCTAGCAATTCCACTCCTGTGTGTATTCCTAAAAGAAATGAAAACATGTCCACACACACTCTTGTACAAATATGTTCACAGCAGCATCATTAAGAGTAGCCAAAAAGTAAAAACACACAAGTGTCCATCAATGGATGAATCAATGAACAATGTGGTCTATCTATACAATTTAATATTATTCAGCAACAAAAAGGAACGAAGTAACCACCTTAAACTGCATATGGAACCAAAAGAGAACCTGCATAGCCAAGACAATCCTAAGCAAAAAGAACAAAGCCAGAGGTATCACACTACCTGGTTTCAAACTATAGTACAAGGCTACAGTAATCAAAACAGCATGGTACTGGTACCAAAACGGATATAGACCAGTGGAACAGAACAGAGGCCTCAGAGGCAACGCCACACGCCTATAACCATCTTTGACAAACCTGACAAAAACCAGCAACGGGGAAAGGATTCCCTGTTTAATAAATGGTGTTGGGAAAACTGGCTAGCACTGTGCAGAAAGCAGAAACTGGACCCCTTCCTGACACCTTACACTAAAATTAACTCCAGATGGGTTAAAGACTTAAACGTAAGACCTAACACCATAAAAACCCTAGAAGAAAGCCTAGGCAAAACCATTCAGGACATAGGCATACGCAAGAACTTCATGACGAAAACACTAAAAGCATTGGCAACGAAAGCCAAAATAGACAAAGGGGATCTAATTAAACTCTAGAACTTCTGTACAGCAAAAAAAAAACAATCATTTAGAGTGAACCAGCAGCCGACAGAATGGGAAAAAATGTTTGCAATCTACCCATCTGACAAAGAGCTAATATCCAGAATAGACAAAGAACTGAAACAGATTTACAAGAAAAAAACAAACAAACCCATTCAAAAGTGAGTGAAGGATATGAACAGACGCTTCTCAAAAGAAGACATATATGAGGCCAACAAACATATGAAAAAATACTCATCATCACTGAATATTAGAAAAATGCAAATCAAAACCACATTGAGATACCATCTCACGCCAGTTAGAATGGCGATCATTAAAAAATCTGGAGACAACAGATGCTGGAGAGGATGTGGAGAAATAGGAACACTTTTGCACTGTTGGTGGGAGTATAAATTAGTTCAACCATTGTGAAAGACAGTGTGGCGATTCCTCAAGGACCTAGAAATAGAAATTCCATTTGACCCAGCAATCCCATTACTGGGTATATACCCAAAGGATTAGAAATCATTCTATTATAAAGACACATGCACACGTATGTTCATAGTGGCACTGTTTACAATAGCAAAGACCTGGAACCAACCTAAATGCCCATCAATGATAGACTAGACAAAGAAAATATGGCACATATACACAATGAATACTATGCAGCCATAAAAAATGACAAGTTCATGTCCTTTGTAGGGACATGGATGAACCTGGAAACCATCATTCTCAGCAAACTGACAGAAGAACAGAAAATCAAACACCACATGTTCTCACTCATAGGCGGGTGTTGGTCAATGAGAACACATGGACACAGGGAGGGGAGCATCACACACTGAGGTCTGTTGGGGGAGAACAAAGGAGGGACAGTGGGGTAGTGAGGAGGTTGGGGAGGGATAACATGGGGAGAAATGCCAGATGTAGGTGATGAGGGGATGGAGGCAGCAAACCACATTACCATGTGTATACCTATGCAACAATCCTGCATGGTCTGCACATGTACCCCAGAACCTAAAGTGCAAAAAAAATAAAGACCAAGTAATGAAGTACTGATCCATGCTCAACTTGGATGGCCCTAGAAAACATTTCAGTGGAAGAAGCCAGTCACAAAAGACCATGTCACATGATTCCAGACATATGAAATGTCCAGAGTAGGTCAATCTTACATAGAAAGTAGATTCACAGCTGCCCTGGGCCGCAGGAGTCGGAAAGTAGGGGAGTGACAAATGGTACGGGGTTTCTACTGGGGGTGACGAAAACGTACCAACGTTGACTAATTCTGTGAACTGATTGTGGGTCTGTGAATTTACTAAACCAACAGAATTGGACACTAGAAATGGGTAAACTGCATGACATGTGAATTACGTCTCCATAAAGCTGTCAGTTGTTTTTTTTTTTAAATTCACCCGGGTGTGGGTGGGCTGAGTCCAAAAACGAAGTCAGCCTAAAGCTGTTAGTTAACAACTCCCCACCTCCCCTCTAAAAAAGGAGGAGGAATCAGGAACCTGTCTTCACTCTGTTCTGTAGGAATGCCAGCTATTACCCAAGGTAATGACTAACAAGGCCCCCTTTATTCTGAAACATCCTGGTTTATATGATACATTTATATCACTACCCTATCACTATGTGCTACCATGCAGGTGACTTTGCCCCTTTGAGCCTCAGTTTCCTCATCTACAAAACAAGCTTACCCATTGTAGACCTTGTTTTATTCTGATAATCCTTCATTCGAGCACTTCATTCCACAGAAGCTCCATTCAGAAGCTATGATATCCCATTCAGGTGGTCATGGCATCCCCCATGAAACTAAATTAACAAAGAGCTGAAGCCCTAGCCAGCAGAGACCACTGGATCCCAGGAACCAGAGACAAGACAAAGACGAATTTCTGCGTCTACCACAGTTACTGACACACATTTCCCCAGTTAGGCCATTAGGAATGATGACACACCCATTCTGATGCAGGCAAAACACCCTAAACATACCCCTTACAAACAAACCAAGAGAAACATTGAAGTGAGGGGCGCCCAGAGAAAATACAATGCCCCTGTGGCAAATTTAGCAGTGGGTCACCAAGGTTTTCTCTAACTTTCTATAAGTCCATCCAACAGGGCCTGGTATTGTGGCGGTTGAGGTCAGCGGATGATACAACGGAATGCTCCTTCCCAATCCTCCTTACCCACGATTGCCTAGGAAATACAAGTCTTTTCTATTACCGCCCCCCCCAACCTCCCCACAAAGGGCCTCAGAACTAACATCTTCGAGAAAGGCTGTTGAACTGTGATCCGGAGGGGGGCGGAAAGAAAAATACAAAATAGAGAAAGGCTGCACACGTACATTGTGGCATCCACCGCGCCAAGGTGCTGATGCAGAGAGAGGAGCTCATCTCTGGGTTCCGCAGCAGCAGATCCTTAGAAACAAGGTAGAAGAGAAAGAGGTAGAAGGCACACAATAGCCCCACTCCCATCAATTCATCCAAGAACAGGAAAGATGGATGCTCGCCAGGGTCACTGAGAAGGGAAGCAAACGTGAAGGCAAGAGAAGGAGAGCAAACTGCTCCCATTGAGTCAGCAGTGCTGGCCATGCAGCCAACTCCCAGAGGAGGAGGTAAGGGTACCAGCTTCCAGGGGGAAGCCGAGCTTTCTCCGGGGGCAGGAGAGTGCTCAGAAGGGACGGAGACAGGCGGCACCAAAACACCCAAGACGCTTCCAACTAAGGGGCGAGTGGTTTCAGAGCAGGTGTTTCTACTTTTCGCCCTTTTAGAACGTTAGGGTTGGACCAACAGAAAAGAACAAGGAACCATTCAAAATCTGGGGGCCAAGAGGAAGGGAGAAAGGAGCCACTGGCTTTCCGCACATGGTGCTTGGTGTCCCCAGGCTTCTGCTGGTTGGTGCTCTGTAGCTTTCACAGACTGGGCAGGGTCCCTCCTGGCCTCAGCTTGCCTGGTGAGGCCACAGCTTCCAGTGGGGCAATTTCTACATCCACAGGGATCCACGCGGCTGGGTGTTGGAGGCAGGTACAGGGCCCACTGCTGCTCAGAGTCCACATTTCAGGATGATGTGGTAGCCATCATTGCTCTCGGCTGCAAGAGAGAGACACAGGGCATATTTCACAGGAAAAAAGGTACAGTGCCACAGTATCGGGGAGTCCCAAAAGGCAGGCTGTTAGGGTATCAGCAAAGACCACCAAAATAGGGCTGCATACAGCAAAGTGTGCTGGCAGATGCAGGGATCTCACATGCCCTGAGATCTTTAGTGTCTTTTTGACAATAGGTCTTTCCACCATAGCCCTAGGCCCAAGGATGAAAACCTGTATTCCAAGGAGGATTTGCACAACTGTGTTCTCAGGGATGTTATGGCCCCCAGGCCCTAAAGATACTCGGTGGCTAGATAAACAGAACAAGGTGGGAGATGGCTCCACCGTGGTCCAGGGTCTGAGTTGGTCAGAGGGCTTTTGCTCTGATATACCCTATACATGCACCTCAGCCCTTACGAAGGCCACAGCAGGTCTTTCTCTACCTTTTATGATTAAATACATGTTCCTGGCCCACAAGCTCTTCCTTGGCAGAACATAGGCACACTGTCAGGTGGGCCCCTCGTCCCCATCCCTGACCCAGGCTGCCTGCAGACTCCGTGGCTGTATTCCAGGCTTGGTCTTCCTGGAGGACCCCAGGCAATGCGCAATGCTTCTTGCTTCTACTCAACACTGAGTTCATGGAGAACAAGTTGCCTGGCCCAGGATTTCCCTTTCAGAAGTGACCTTGGGGGCCAATCTCACTAGTTCTGCCATTTTTAAAGCTAGCTTTCATAGGGAGTTTGTGTTTTCTTTTTCCCAAAGGCTTTTTCCAGGTCAGCACTCGCTGGAAGGGCCCACCCTGCGGTCAGGCCCCACTCTCCCACCTGCCTCCACAACTGCCCCAGGGATGCAGCCCACACACCTCAACTAAACAAGGGGGGAAGAGGCAGGGGAGGAGGGCTTCACCTTTAATTGTGCTGAGGACAAAACAGGATTCATCTTGGAAATTCTGTACCATCTGAAAGGCAAAAGAGAGAACATGTTCCTTCAACCACGAGTTCATCATTTGGAAAGCCTCGGAGACTGAGCCCAGCCTTGCGCAGCTGCAGAAACGCCACTGCCACAGTGTCTACAGACACAGGAACACGGTAAACACCAC